GTATCACAGATGTGGGGTCTCTGTGCTGTGTGGCTAATCTACACTGTATCACAGACATGAGATCGCTGTGCTCTGTGGCTACTCTGTGATGCTCAGTTATTTCCTGGGGCTGAATTCATCCTCTTTGTTCTTTTCCTTTGGTAGTTGCTTTTTCCTTGGTGAAGGTGCTGGGAACTGAACCCAGGGTCTTGGGCACACAGGATAAGCATTCTGCCACTGAGCTATATACCCCATGTCCTGTAGTTGAATTTCTAAGATATCCCCAACTTAAAATGGGCTTACAGGGCAGAGGAACAGCTGTACTCATATCTCACATTTTCAATTTAAGGAAGTTTAATGCACATATTTAGCTGCTTACCTTAAAAAAAAAAAAAGCAAGTGATAGTTTAGTAAGTTTTCCTTCCAAGTTAATTTAAAAAGAAGTAGGGTACATAGAAAACTAACATTCATGAAAATCTTTACTTCTGTAGGCTCCTTCATGTCTCAGTAAGAAGTAAAATGTAGTTGTTAAATTTTAAAAGTACGTTTGTTTTGTGTGTGTGCATGGGCGTACATGCATGTTGAACATGTGGAGGTCAGAGGTCACCTTGCAGGAGTCGGTTCTCTCCTTCCACCATGTGGGTTCTGGGGATCAAACTTAGGGTTCCCGGGTTGGCAGCAAGTTCCTTTCCCACTGAGCCATCCTGCCAGCCACAAAATAAAACACTTGTGAATGTTTATCCTTGTTGTTTTTCTGATCGTCTTCATTTGGGTTTTCCGTTCAGGGTTGTTTTTAGTTTGTTTTGTTTTGTTTTGTTTTATGTGGTACAGACTGGCTCATGACAGTCCCCCTACCTCAGCCGCCTGTGTGCAGAATTACAGGTGTGAGCTACCACACCCTGCTTGAATTTGTCTTCATGCGCCAAGAAGAATATTATAATAAAGTATCTCAATTGTAAAAATCTAGATTATTTGAGTACTGTACTGTAAGCTATATAGTATATTAATGCTTCATATTAATGTTCATAATGAAAGGAACCACTCTGGTGACACTGGTTATGTCTGGGTGGTCACAGGGATTGGCATTTATCCTTTTAGAATATCAAAATAATCACTGGCAGGAGTGTGTGTTCACATGAGTGGCAGAGAATTCACAGCTTTGGCCTTGGCCATAAGTCAGAAGTCTGGGACACAGGATCCAAGGTGGCAGCAGAGGAAGTATCTCCTCACTTTTGCTCTGAGGAAGCCTCTCAGATGCCTACCTGAGAACGTTCAGTAGCATGATCACATAAACACTTCTTGTGGGGGGGGCGGTGTACATGGAGGTCGGGGACTACTTCAGATGCCATTCCTCAGGTGCTCACCACTTTGTTTTTTGAGACAGGGTCTCTCATTGGCCTAGACCTCTTCTGGTAGTCTAGGCTGGCTGGATTACAAATGAGCATTGCTAGCCTGAATATTTTCATGTGGTTTCTGGGGTTAAATATTAAATAAATATTTTAAGATACAAATTAAAACTTCCAGCCAGGAGGTAGTGGTACACGCCTTTAATCCCAGCACTCGGGAGGCAGAGCCAGGCGGATCTCTGTGAGTTTGAGGCCAGCCTGGGCTACCAAGTGAGTTCCAGGAAAGGTGCAAAGCTACACAGAGAAACCCTGTCTTAAAAAAAAAAAAATTAAAATCTCCAGATGACTCCAATACAAAGCAGTGGTACTAGAGTGATTCAAGGTAATAATAGCACATGGCAGGCCACGTCTTTATGCTGAGCCCGACAAAGACATGTTCCTTGTGTCAAGCTCTAGACAGTGTAGACAAGGAGGCCTACTAACTGGGGATTTCTGTTTGCTTTTGGTCCTAAGGATTGAACCCCAAATAAGTGAGGTGCAAAGTCCTGAGCCCAACACAGATTTTCTGGTTTGTGTATTCCTTGACACTAAGTAACAAATTTTATCTTATAGTAAATAATAAGCAATAATATCTAGCCACTCAAAACCAATTATGAAACAAGACTGTGGGAAGAAGGTATTAGGTCAGAATTGGCAATCTCAGCTTGACCATCTACAGTGACTATTTCATATCAACCCTTATATGGTAAGAGGCCAAGTCCAAGTGAAAGGTTACAGGAACCGAAATGTGGAAAATTAAAAATAAATTCATTATCAAGTGACCAGATAAGACAGGTTTAGATCAGGCCAAATGTCTTTTCTCTTGATGTTCTTTGTGCTTTGGTTGGTTGGTTGTGTGCATGGTTGATTGGCTATTCAGTTGGTTGTTTGGGTACTTGGTTAGTTGTTTGTTTGTTTGGTTGTTTGGTTGGTTGGTTGGTTTTGTAGGTGGTTGTTTGGCTGTTGGTTGGTTGTGTGCTTGGTTGATTGCTATTCCATTGGTTGTTTGGGTACTTGGTTAGTTGTTTGTTTGTTTGGTTGTTTGGTTGGTTGGTTGGTTTTGTAGGTGGTTGTTTGGCTGTTGGTTGGTTGTGTGCTTGGTTGATTGCTATTCCATTGGTTGTTTGGGTACTTGGTTAGTTGTGTGGTTGGTTGGCTGTTGGTTGGTTTGGTGGTTGATTGTTCAGTTGGCTGGTTGGCTGGTTGGTTGGTTAACTTGAGGAACTTCTTATTAACTTTAATTATTCTGATCTTTAAATCTGTTCCAGTTGGTGATGGAGTACTGCTTAGGTTCAGCCTCGGACTTGTTAGAAGGTAAGGATGACATTACTACGCTGCTCCTGTTTTTCCTCCACCATGTTCTCTGTGGGGCTGAAGAGGCAACTCAGCAGGAAAAACACTCTGCTCTTGGGGAGGACCCAAGTTTGGCTCCCAGGTGGCTCACAACTGCCTATAACTCCAGCTCTGGGGACCTGATGCGCTCTTCTGGCTTCCACAGGCACCTGCGCTCATGTACACATGGACGAACAGTCTCTCTCTCTCTCTCTCTCTCTCTCTCTCTCTCTCTCTCTCT